GCTTAAGGCTCAAGCACACCTGATTTCTTTGTATTGCTTGGTGTGATGAATCGTAGTCTGTGAGCCAGAAATCAGGGTTTCCACTTTGGTGAAAACGTTCCCTTTTTAGGGAAATTGCAAGTTTGGGAGGGAAAAAAGAGAAACATTTTTTAATAATCAAAGCCTAGTTTGAGCACAGTTTACTCTATTTTTGTAATAAGTGAAACATACATAAAACGAGTAGTTACACATAATATTACGTATTAATTTGTATATATTTAGGCAGAAGAAATTTTTAAGTTTGTTCTGAGGAAAACAAAATTAAAATCTTACTGACCAAAGGGAAATTAAAAAAAGTTAAATGGAAACACTGGGCAGAACATACAGTGTGAGCCAGTCAATGATACATTAGCTAAGGAAAGTAACATAATATATTTTCAGTGTTAGTATGAGTGAAGGCACTCACTGTCCATGTTCATAAACCATGGTGCATTAGTGTTTATCTACAGTAGAAACCTTGAATTTTCCAACTATTACAGTTTACACAGTTATAAAAGTATAATGTCCTGATCAAGTGCTTTTAATAAGTGAACTTCAACAAATGTACAAACACACTTTAATAGTCAAGTTAAATTTGTTTTTCTAGTGTACATAAAAATAAGATTGAATAAAATAGAAAAAGACATTGTGATCCATACAAAAAATATGCCAAAAACTTGTTGGCAACAATAGATCTCTAATAAATTTTTTGCAATACTGAAATTTTTGATAAGCTTATACTTTAATGAGTGTTCAATAAATAACAATTAAATTGATTAAACCCAAAGAGTATACAATATAAATTGGCTCTAATCCTTATCATGCAAAATGGATAAACTAATACAAAAACGGCAGAGGAAAAAGTTGTAGAGCTGTTTTTATAGTTTTATCAACTAATCTCCTTTTTTAAATTTGATATAGCATTTGCACCAAAATCATTTTAATATTTATACATTAAAAAAAAAATCTGTACCACTACAATCTATGTAGGGTTCAGATCTTTGTAAGGAAGTTAATAAATTATAAAAAGTTAATAATTAACTTTGTAAAAGAAGATAATTAATTAATTAAGGGTATACATTTTATGAAGGTCTTCTGACCCCAAAATTTATTCATGGCTAATGAAACAGAATAAATAATTATATGTCTCAGCTGGGCTCAAACCTGGTTGCTTGAAAATACGACCTCGCTAACTTACTCTCTGTGCTTTCCCACTCCTCTTTTAATATTTATAGTCATTAAAAAGTTATAAAGCATTCCACAATGCACATTTTGATATATTTAAAATTGAAGGATTTATGCATTTTTTCACCAACTTTCTGTTACAAATAGTTTTAAACATAAATATACAAATAACTTTCCAAAATCATAAAGAGAATTTGATTGTATGAATTTGAAAAACTTATTAATTTAACAGCAGAAATAATTATTTTAATATCATTAATAAACATAAAAAAATCAATTAAATAACTACTGATTCTAAAATCAAAATTAAGATTCTTCACAGTTTGTTCATGAAATTCTTGATGATAGTTTTATATAATATTGTTTTCAAAAATGTCTCCTCTAGCCCTGATGATCTTATTAGTCATCTTCCCAAACGATGAATAGGATGACCAATTTTCACCTTCTGTATTTTCCAGCAGTAATCAGTATGCTTACTTCTCAACTTGTTCGGAACTGTTCGATAGTTTTTAAAATATCACGGCTTTTAGTTTTCATCACAGATAAAATTCAAGTGGAGTGAGGTCAGGAGGATAAAGAGGAGACCAAGAAACTGGACCACCACAGTCTAATCAGCTGTTCTAAAAACTTTCTACAACTACTTACCGTAGTTGCACAACGTCTATATTGGGCATTCATCCTGCTGCAGCCCTATTATTTTTCAAGCTGGGAGCAGTAGATTCTTCTCTGATAAGTATGAAAAACTGTCCCTCAAAAATTCCATGTATTTGTGTTTCAAACCAATGATAGCTTCTCCTAAAATTCCAAAACGTGGGTCCACTGACTGACAATGTTAATGATCCAGATGTCAATATGCATGTGGGTTTTTTCCTAACCTGGCAATGAAATAATTTTTTATTCAAAAGATCAGTTTATCCACCGTTATGGTTGGTCAGTAAAGAGAATATTTAAGAAGTGAGATTAGTTTTCTGGAGGTCTTCTCATGTCTAATATTATATAACATACAGTGAGAACTGATCTTTATTGTATGTATATACAGCAACTTCAAAGTGAGTTCCCTCCATGGTATTGTCTGCATGAATAACCTGCCAGCGCCGGCCTTATACATTCAGGCGTCCCCAGGCCTTGAGGACTCCCCTCTCTAAAAAAATTTCCCCTCCTCTAAAAAAATTAAATTAATTTCTTAAGTTATTTTAAATTATGTAATACTTGAATTTATTTCATTCAATATTTGTCTAATACAGCTGCTTTATAGATAGGCTAAAATTAATTATTTCAATACGTTTTGTATTAACAATTGGCAAGCGCCCTTGAAGATTGGCCGGCACCCAAAAGTATTAAAAATAATAATAACTTTGTGAATACAAGATCATAAGATGCCATACATTCAATGATCTATCTTATCTTATTATTTTTATTAAAAATAATAATAAAATTAAGAATACAAGATTATAAGATGCCATACATTTTTCAATTTTGAAGATACCAAAATGCGTTTTGCATGATCTTTTATGAGATTAAAAATTTTAAAAACTATACCAGATGAGTAAATATGAAACCAGAACTTTGTATATAAAATACAAACTTATTACATAGGAATGTTAAAAATATATTTCATTCAAAATATTGTCCATTGCTAGTAAGGGCTGGAACTAGGATCTCTGGGCAGCAGAATTTAGGGGGCTTGTTTAAATTTAAAATTGTTTTTTAGCTTAAGAATGAAATGTTTTGACCTCAATTCAATCTATAAAGTGAGTTAACGTTATGAGATGATGAAATTTATTTCAAAATATATTTCTTAAAATAGTGTTATAGAATGTTGACTTTGATAGAGAAGTGGGGAAGGTTGTGGAGGTTAGGTATTTGTGCCAATTTACATTATACACCCTGCACATTGGCTCAAGGGTTTGTATAGTTAATGACTTTATATGAGTAGATGATTAAAATAAAAAAAAAAAACCATGAGTAGTAGACAGCAGGGCTATTACAAATATCAAGGATTTATAAAAAAATCTATTCCTTGAATCAACTACTTATTTAGTTTGTACTCAATAGATAAATATTGTCTTTCATTGTATTGAATGCCAAACAGAAAAAAAAGAAGCAATTATTTAAAAATTTATTGAAAAAACACAAACATTTTTATAATCTATTATTAAAAAAAAAATCAATCTTCAATCTTTTCTTATTTAATTTTAAAAGCACCAGTTTATGTGTGTAAGTATATATTTATAACATATATACAATGAATATGTACATAGGCACCAAGGATGGACAACCTACCATCCGAGCTGTTCAAGGAAGGGGGAAAAGACTTAAGATAACTACAACTAATTCAGAAAATAGAGGAAGAGGAAAGAATACCAGAGGCTTGGAACATAGACCTAATCTGCCCTATCCCAAAAAGAAGGGCTCCATTTATTAGTGTAGTTTTCTTCCTGTTTCCTACAAGATAATATCCAATATACTGTCAAATCAAATATATCTGTATCATGAAAATACAAAAAGCGAACAAGCTATAACAGATCTTTATTCTAAAAGAGGATATAACTCAGGATGTGCACGCCTTATTTGTTTATTTCATAAATATATATATAAGGGGCTTGGTTAGTGTGGGCTAAGGTGTTTGCAATAAGTAACCAAGTTAAGCAACGCCGAGCGTGGTTAGCACTTGAATGGGAGACCACCTGATTTGGGCGACCGTCCACCAGGAAAAGCCACTCTACCTGAGACTCCCCCCAGTTTGTGAAACTCGTCAGCCTACTGGAGGCAACTTGTACTAACCGGGCGTAGCACTGCGCACTTAAATCAGGAATTGGGGTGTGGTCTAGAAGACCACATCTTGTGGTCAAAGATCTACAAGGTCTGTAGCGCCAACCAAAACAAAACAATATATATATATATATATATATATATATATATATATATATATATATATATATATATATATATATATATATATATATATATTATATATATATAAGAGGGACTTATACCACACTCAGTTCACAACACTTTACAAATTATTTAAACATTTTCATCACCGTTTAAACATGTAGTCAAAGATTTCATTGCAATCAACAAGGTGCATAATAAATAATCATAATGGGTGATTCAGAAACTATTACTATAAACAGGTTTCAGTGTTAAACAAATTATAATATAAATTACTAAATTCAGTCAAATTTACCAGGTTAATATCTTTAAAAAAACTGCTCATTAAAGGAAAACTATAAACAAAACATAAATATTCTTTTACTTATATATTAAGTAAAATTAGAATAAAGCATAACTTTGATCATCAGTTCAAAATATTATAAAAACAAATATTTGCATAATATAACAAATTTAACATTGAAGTTCACAATATACAAACTAAGTTCTAAAACAAAAAAATCAGAATATGTTTATTCTGTTAGTTAACTTTAAGTTTTCAGCTAAATAAGTCAAAATCAGATTTAGCTCAAATATTTTTACAGGATGTTATATAAAATACATAAGATTTCATTAATATATGTAAATTTGGATGGATTTCCAGCTTTTTATAAGCATTTGATGCTAGAATAACTGGCATAGTAATTAACAAGAATCTGTATCTAAAAACATTAAATGTAATATAAATTTATTTTTTTAATACAAAAATAAAGTAAAAACCATACATTGAAAAAAAAATACTATCAAATGTTAAAATGGAAATAAACAAAACAAATTTATTTAAATTACAAAAAAAAAGAAATAAATTATAATACATAGATATACTATCAAATCATATTTTGATAGATTAACTCAAAAATTCTTTAGCGTCCTAGTGAATGAGGTGTATGTAGTGCACTATGGACATCATAGGAGTTCAGTGCGGAGTAAGGTCTTTGTCCTTTTCCAGCTGCTGGTGTGGATGGTCTACTACCAATACGACCTTGACATGGATCATGTCTCTGCATGAAATGTTCAAGTGTATCCCATCCACCACCTACTCTCACCATCATATGTCGCCCTTTCAAAAGCTGAAATAAATAACTTATTTAGAAATTATTATAAAAAATACTCAATGATGATATTTTTAGGATTGTTTAGCTAAATTAACATCCCAAAATTCACTCTAATTAATAGTACACCTTAAAACTATGATGACAGGGGGGCCAAAGCCCCCCCCCCAAAATGGTAAAATATAATCATGTTTTATGAAAAAAATTATCTTTAAAAGTATTATTGTTTGTCCAATTACAGTTAATAGGACTTCAACAATCACTTAAAGGCCATTTCATATAGGTAGTTAGTTTCTTTCTTTCATCCGAAGTTATTATAGTAATATTTGTGTACAAAAAAAAAATCTTTCGGGCTGAAGCACCCCCCCCCCAAAAATTAAATCCTGGATCCGTTAGTGTAGGTAGGTAGATAGATAGATAAATACATTAAAAAAATCAAAAGAAATATTTATAAAATAATTTTAAAAAGTATTAAATGTGGTATAACTTACCCTCACAAAGACGTTTCTTCCAAATATGTTATATCTACCTTCACCTACTTTTCTAACTTTTAACTTATCACATTTGGATCCTATACAGCGGCATTGCCTTAATGCGGCTTTGGTGACATATTTCACCTATAAAACAAAATAAATATGAAGATAGTAGCTTATTTTTAACCCAAGATAGTTAATGTGTGGTTAATGGAACAATACCACATATGCACATGCATTTGAATTATTAAAACATTTTAATAATAATTATTTTATAATAGATATAATAGATGTTTTATGCTATTTAGTTCATTCAATACCTTCACATCAAGATCATTTAAACCAGCTTCTGGTAATTCATTTTCTAAAGGCTCTTCAGTACTGCTCCTAGACCAGTCATCAGTGACATCTGGTTCACTGTTTCCTACACTAGCTGGTATCCGCTCACTAGCCACTCTTCTCAAAACTTCTCCTACACCACACCCTCCTTCTTGTATAAAAATGTTTTTGCTGGGTTCAGTACACAGAGCATTTTCAGAACTGAAAATTTACCAAAAATAAGATGGCTAAAATTATAATTTATATTAATTAGAAATTCAGAAACAAACTGAGGATGTAGTATTTGTTTTTTGTTTAGGATTTGTTGAGAGCAAACTACAAAAAGGAGGGCTGTAAATTATTTTGTATGTATATAATATATAAAATTAATTAATTTGTTATAAATCAAGTCTTACAAATAATTTTGTAACATGCAAGTCATAAAATTGTTTTAAACACTTTTATAAATATTCTACACCACCATAACAATTATCTTTTTTGTTTCCCTACATTAATTTATGAAACAAATTATTTTCTTTTAAATATATATTTAAAAAATAGGCTAATAATTCATCAACAAAATAGTTTATATTGATAGCTATAGTTATTTTTTGTCTAATAGATTCATTTTATAAAATTTTTAGAAAATAAATACCTGCTAAAACTAGGCCTATGAATTGTTTGGAACTGCCAATCACGCAGTTCTCTAGATTCCTCCTCAGCTATTTCTTTTTCTAGAGCAACTAAGCCTGGTGGTTCTACATTAAATCGAGAGGCTATTCTCGCAACTTCCATTAAACAAAGTATTACATTTCTGGGTTTGTTCTGCTGAACTGCAAGATTAATTATGGTAGGTCAGGATATTTGTTTAACAATTCAATGACAGTCTCTATAAATTTTTTTTACTACTTTATTTCTAGTGAAGCTGTCAGTGACCTGCATCTCTATATGTATGTAATCTCTATAATGTAACACATTATAATCAATAAAATTAAAAAATAGCAATACATAATGTTATGTACTTTTTAAAAAAACTGTCATGAAATTATTATAAAGTAGTTAAAAAAAGTTATAGAGACTGTAATTGGTAAACAAATATTCTGATCAACTACGAAAATGTAAAAGAGTTTAAAATTATCTAATGATTAATTATATTTAATTATAAGAATAATAAAAACTTGAATAATATTAGATTTGACTATTTCCTGAAAAACGATCGAGGGTTGATAGGCAAATTAGTATGAAGTCTTCATATTTAGATTCTTAATATTTTCATTCTTCTAAAAGCCATAACTGAAATTTTTGAAAAATAAAACCTCTAGTCAGGAGTGCCCATCCCCTCCCCCAAGGTTGATGGCACAAGAACCTACCCCTCTCCCCTCTCACACTCCTAAGATATTTTATTGCTCTTATTTTCTTAAAAACAGAGGAAGTGAAGGTAAAATTATCCAGTTCCAATTACCAATGAAAACTGGTAGATCATAAACAATTACACTTGATACAGTCTGTTCCATGTTTTCTTCTTGTCCCTTAGTATGAAACTTTTGATTTCAAAAATTCATAACCCAGTCAAAATATGCACTCCTAAAAAAAATTTTATGGTGCAGCTTGCGTCATGAAACCCCCTTAAATCAAGCACTGCAGTTCTTATGGACTTTTAGGAAGGCTATCTAAATGTCACTTTTTTCAGACTAGAATGAGATTGTCAAGATTAATATTTCTTGGAAACTCCACAAAGTACAGCTCTACAGCGCCTGTAATACCTTAGCATCCTCAGTAATTCCTCTACATTAGCAGTCCAGTTTCTTCATTGCCCAATTTTCATCCTCTGCAGATCATCCTCCACATCACTGATCTGTTGTTACATGTGTCTTTCTCTCCGTCTTTTGCCTCCTGGTTGGCTATATAATATTTTTTTTGGGTATCTATCTTTTCTACTTACTATCTTTTCTACGTACCCAAACCAACTTATAAGTGACTATGTCTGGTTTATTATATAGTTCCCGAAGTTTTCTAATGTGTTGAAAGACTTCTCTGTCACAGATTCAAAGGATCTTCTTTCATTCCTGGGTCAAGATCCACATTTCACTTGTGTATGTGACAATTGGTCATAAGATCGATTTATAAATAAGTAACTTTACTTTCCATGACAGGTTCCTAAACTACAATGTTCCCCGTAATGACAAAATACATCTTTTGCCTACTGTGATCCATCTGTTTATTGCCACAGTGATGTCATTTTTTCCCATCATTAAAGCTCCTAGGTATTTGAATCTGTCCACTTTCATAAATGTCAGGTGGAACAGTTGCACATGATTCTGTCCTTCCTACCCCTCAATTTTTAAAGAAAATGTTTGTTTATTGTTTATATATTGTTTTTTTCTCCTTATTTATCTTAAGACCTAATCTTCAGGATCTTTAAATTCCTATTAAGCTCCTGAAAGTGCCACTTTAGATCATGCTGTTATTACCTCGTCATCCGCATTAATCAAGTATTGGGTAAATCTACAATAAAAATATAAATATATGTTCTGCCATAAATGCTGTTACAAAAGTTGAACTTTGTTTACATCCCTGGGTATTATTTAGATAATCCTTACCTCTATCAGGTTATTTTGTTTACATGTCAGGATAATAATTCCAATTAGTTTGTATTTTTCTTTTGCTTACTTAACATGGAGTGGGGTGATAAAGAAACCCAAAAGCTGTGATCGCCTTACACAAAGTTGGAAAATGTAGGTCAGAGATTTTCAACACTTTGAAATCTTTGGGTATCAGCTTGTTCATGAACCGCCCAAAAAATAGATATAATGAGACCTTATCTGTACGTGGCAGACCTTGACCCGGCAGTCCCTGCACTGTGAGAACGGCAAATGCAGTGAGTGCAGTGGCTGCTCGATTCAGCAGAAATCCCATTCGAAAACAACAAATCATGTCTCAGGAAATGGGTATCTCTGTCAGATCAATGTCTCCAATAATAAAAAGTGACCTTGGGATGGGTGCATTTTGAAGAATGGCAGGACAAAGGCTAACCGCTTCCCTAAAACAAATTAGAGTGGATAGATGCAAAGTGCTCCTTGGCCATTACATCTATGGTCGAAAAATTTTGTTTAGCAATGAGAAAATTTTTACAATGGAAGAAAAATTTAATCGCCAAAATGATCGTGTGTACGCACACAGCTATAAAGTAGCAATGAGAAAATTTTTACAATTGAAGAAAAATTTAATCGCCAAAATGATCGTGTGTACGCACACAGCTATAAAGAAGCCCTGGAAGTCATTGGAAGAGTGAAAACAGGTCATCACCCTTCCTCAGTGAAGGTTAGGTGGGGAGTTTGCTTTGATGGCACCAATGAGTTCTATTTTTGTGAAAAAGGAGTTAAAAACAGCTACTAAAAACTCAGGATGATATTTTGAAACCTGTTGTCAAACCTCTAAATGATAATATGTTTGCTGGAAGTCATTGGGTTTTCCAGCAGAATTCCGCTCCAACTAACAAGGCCAGGTCAATTCAACAGTGGCAGCAAAAGAACATTCCAGAGGTCATTTCTGCCTCGGATTGGCCCTCAGGAAGTCCTGATCTCAACCCACTAGATTATTGGCTTTGGACTGAACTGGAGAAGATGGCATGCCACAGAGCACACCCTAACTTGGAAAGCCTCAAACAATATCTGGTCAGAGCAGTTGAGCGCTTTCCTCAAGAAATACTGCATGCTGCTATTGATGACTGGCCACAGAGATTAAATGCCTGTGTCAAGGTAAAAGGGAAACATTTTGAGTCATTTATTTTTTGTTTTACACTCTGTAGATATACATTTTATTTTCTAATACCGTTTTTGAAAAAAATAATTTTTCTGTGGAAATCTGTATATATTCTTGTAACAATATTTATGACAGGACTAGGTATATCATTCCTCCTTGGTTCATCATAATTTATCTGACTCTTTGCTCCAATACTATATTGAACAAAACAGGGAAGATAAAATCTCACTGGTGCAAACAATTTTAAGTTATCTACAGATATGAAAAAAATGATTGATGATTAACATAAGTTTTTGAAAAAAAAAAATGAATAAAATATTCTACTACAAAGGACACAATGAAGATAACCTTATTTTTATTAGTATTTATTAATGATTTCAGAGGATATGAACATTAATTTAGAAAATTAGACCCTGAGAAATGATTAAAAGTTGATTAATTTACATTATTTATTGCTATATTACCAAGATCATTTGTTTCAAATAATAAATTCTGATGAACACCCAATTGCTTGCAGAATTGGATGAATTTCTCCGTATTGTCTCTTGAAAAGAAACTTTTTCTAGAAGCTTTTTCAAAAAATGGTCCTTTTATAACAGGCACAGGCTGAAAAAAAAATTAAAATATCTCCAGTTCAAAAGATATTTGTGAAATCAATATTCCATACAAAACATATATATAACAACACTATATGTAATATACGAAGTTGTTATTATTAGTAATTGGTGGATGGTGATAAACTAATACTAAGTTGCGTATTCAGAACTGTCTAATTTATTTTTCCAAAAAGAGATATAAATGGAAATTTTATAGTTTCATAAAAATTTGACAAAGAGATGTTTTTAAAGGCTTTTATTTTTGTTTTTTGGATTACTTCATATGATTTGGAAAGAATTTGATGAAAAAATTAAAGATGATTTGCATCCATAAAATCTCTATGATAATAAAACATTTGTCATCAGGTACATATATTGCAATATGAAAGTATTTACTCAAACAACTGTTAAAGTAATCTTTCCGAAGTATTTTATTCGAAATTCCCTCAGAACTGAGCATACTGCAATGAAGTGATAAATATTTTCTATTAGGTTTAAGTTGCAAAGAGAACAAACATAGCTGCCATTCTGTGATTTAATTGAAGTAATTCCCCACTTAGTTTTACAACCGGGATTATAAAATGTGTAGACCAGTTTTGGGTGAAATACATTTTTGGTAAGTTCTGATTTAAATCTTTGTGCAGTAAATGAAATTTAGCACCTTTCACTTTATTAGAAATACCAATATCCCACTCCTTTTTCATATTTGTAATTAATCTATCAATAAATAAATGACTGTTTTTTTAACTTAATTCATTAACTATATCTGCATTTAGTCTGTGCCCCCAGAAGATTAGCTTCTATTCTCATGGTAACTTATAATGAGTTCTGTGATATGATAGATGGAGAGGATCTGAATGCAATCTACATATTTACAAACATATCACTAAGGTATAGAGTAGCCCTGATAAAATAATTTAATTATTGAATATTATTATGGTAATCTGTAAAATATATGCATAATAATTTTATACAGGTTTATAAATAATAATTTTGACTTAATAATATTTAACTCCGATGCTTTTATTTCTGTTTACATTTTTGTAAATGTGTACTGTACTATTTTTACAAGCAAGATGAGGTACAGCTAATTCCAAGCAGACGGACGATGTCCATGCTTATTTATTGTGTATATATATATACATATTAAGGTTTATAAAAATTACTACATTTCATAACACTTATTTATACTCAGTGGGATTATTTGATAATAAATGATTATTTAGAAATGAATTACAGTTGATCTGATGTAAGGAGGTGGCGGCCCCATCGCCCGGTCATAGTACCGCAGATAGCCTCTGGTCCTCCAGGTTGGCGGAACAGTAGTCTGACACACATTCATAAACACAGATTACAGCACACTAAATTCATCCCCACACTACAGATCAAGGTCAACAACAGTACACACCTTAGGGCCAGCTTCCCTAAGTAGCCATTCCGGATGGGGGATCATGTCAGGACGCTTGGAGGAGGCAACCCCTCAATCTGACTCGGGGTAGATGGCTGATAACCAATTCTCCTTAAATTTATATTATTACAAATAACAGAGTGAAAAGAGCTGGACTGTCTTTACGGAACTCGACACTGCGTGGAAAACGGTTATTTAGAATGGCGACTTGGAACATTCGTGGCCTAAATGGGAAGGAGTGCAAGCTTGTGGAGGAGATCCAAAAAGCCTAAGTAGATCTTTTAGGCATTACAGAAACGAAGAAGAAAGGAAAAGGGGAATTGAAGATCCAAAATTACATTCTCCTATACTTGGGTGTCAACAATGATGAGAGAGCAGCCTGTGGAGTTGGATTCTTGTTCCATAATGACTTGGCTTCCGTAATAAAAACATGGAAATTTGTAAGTAGCAGAATAATGGTGCTGGACATTCTGGAGGGAGAAAAAATTCATTCAGTAATAGTCGCTTATGGGCCAAACGATAGTGCTAACTCTGATGAAAAAAATGTCTTCTATAGTGGTCTTCAAAGAGAAATTGATGACTGCAAAGGCACGCCCATAATTGTAGGGGATCTGAATGGGAGAGTTGGTTGTAGCCCCGAGAGATGGCCGGGAACCTTAGGAAAATATGGTGAGGAATTCATAAACGATAATGGCCACAGATTCCTGAACTTCTGTGAGGCAAATGATCTGATGGTAACAAATACATTTTTTCCACATAAAGAATGTCATAGATTTACAAGAGAAGAAGCGGGAAGAAATGAAAAATCTATTATTGATTAAATTTTGGTCAAAAGAGAAGAAATGCGAGGAGTTATGGATGCCAGGGTCGAGTGAGGATTTGAGATAGGCAGTGATCATTATCTGCTGATAATCAATAGATGTTGGAACGAGTTGAAACCACGAACAAGAAATAAGAACTCCAAGAAAAAGGTCATAAAATCATATCGCTTAAAGCAGGATGACTTGGCAACCTATTTTCAAGAAGAAATAGAAAGAATGGCCGTAGACAACAACAGACATTGAGACTGCAATGACATTGACAGGAGTTGGGCACCTTTTAGGAAGATCCTCCTTGATGCATCAAAATTGGTCTGCGGGGAAAAGGGTGTTGGATCTGGTTCTAGAAGAACAGCCTGGTGGACAGAAGAAGTAAGAAAGGCCATCGATAGTCAGCTCGGGGAAGAACACGGCTTCAGAGGGCAGCGAAGTATGCAGGATCTTATCTTCACAATGTGCCAAATTACAGAAAAGACTGTCGAGAAGAATAAGGAGCTTTCTGTCTGCTTCATGTACCTCCAAAAGGCTTTCAACAGAGTAAGGAAGGAAGATATAGAGCGGGCATTGTCTGAAAGAGGGATCTATCATGGAACGATTTTGGCTGTGATGAGTCTTTATAACAAGACCAGAAATGTGGTTAGGACCAAGAACCACATTTCAGAAGAATTTGAGACGACATTAGGTATTCGCCAAGGTTGTAGCTTTAGCCCGCTACTGTTCATAATAGTTTTAGACATGGTACTTAGAAAGCCTAAACTAAGAATGAGGCAGTTCCGGTTAGGACACCAAAAACTGCAACCGACAAGATTCTCTGTGCTGGCATTTGCTGACAACCAGGTCTTGCTAGCTGCAAATGATCGAGACCTCCAATACAGCATCAACATCTTTCAGGAAGAAATAGCCACTATAAACATGAAGATTAATCCAGAAAAACTAAATGCATGAGAATAGGCAAGAAGCCCTGGAGAATAATGAGTGTGATGAGAGCAAGTGGTGAGAGACTGGAGCAGGTAGATAATTTCCAGTATCTGGGTGCTCATCTCAACAAAAGTGGTTATGTTGATGAAATAATAAAAGAATTGGGGCAGTTGGCAGTGTTCTATCTGCTCCAGAGGGGATATCTGGGCAGAAGAGAGATAACGAAGCGAACTAAAATAGCAGTCTACAAATCGACATTTCTCCCTATCCTTTCGTACTCCTCTGAATCGTGGACCCGCACCTCAAAACACAAAAGTCGAATTCAAGCCATGGAAATGCGATACCTTCGGAAGGTCGAGGGAAAGGTCAGAAGAGATAGGGTCCGGAACGCCACTGTACGGACTATGCTCAAGGTCAAACTGGCTGAAACCATCCTAGAGGAGCACAAGCTAAGATGGTTCGGACATCTTCTTAGAATTGATCAAGAGAGAACAGCCAGGAAGAAATACGAGACCCTTGTAGAGGGAAGGAGACCTAGAAGAAGACCACACATATCCTGGGAAGACAGTGTACAAGAGACGTTCAGGTAGCGAGGTATGGATTGGGGTAAGAGAAGAGAGTTGGCTCAAGAAAGGGAAACCTGGTCCTAGCTCTACAAGATATAGCCCATACTGCGCTGCAGTATTAGGATCAGGAATATGATGATGATGATGATTACAGTTGATGGTTTGAAAGTTATCTAGGATGATTAATAACCAGTGTCAGCCTTAGGGCAGGGCAACCCAGGTATATTCCGGGGTGCCCCGCCCCGGAGAAGGGTACTCCTCACTTTTTTGGAATTAAAAAAAAAATAACAAAGCATATGAGAATAATTAGTTTTTTAGGTTAATAATAAAATAACTTAATTTAGAGACAAAGTGAATGAAATATAATTCAAATATGATTTAACATAAAACAGTTTAAGAAATAATTTTATTTTTGTGAGATGACATCATTGTCCGGCTTATATCATCATTGTAAGGCCCATATGGTAAATAGTAAAGATTTTGAGTAATAATTTTCATTGTGGATGCTGACATTTTGACCCAAGATTGTGTCATTAGTGTGACTCAGTTCTGAAGGAAATACTGACAATTTATCATTCAAAGAGACAATTTAATTCTTTTAAAGCTAAAATTGTTCTCAGTATTGCAACTATTAATTTTATAAAATTCTAAAGATATAAAATAATTAATTATTACCAATTAACTTTATGGACCTAAAGTCATTAACATTAAAGAAAGATAGGAGATGGTCCTAGATAAGAGAGTGTGTTCAACTAGGAGTTTCACTCAGAAGTGGGTGTTCAAAGTGAAACTCCTAGTTGAACACACCTCCCTGAAGAAGACCTGCAAAGTCAGGTCGAAACGTTGGCTTTTAATAAAATAGTTTTGCCACTATTTAGTCTTTTTATGACCGCCACCCCGGACCATCTCCTTCCTTTATAATGCAACGGTCAACTATTAAATATTCAATTAAAGAAAGATGCACTAATAATAATTAATAATGCTATCATTAAGTGATAACACACTGTTTTTCTGATCTCACTTTAATAGTGCATTTAAATTCAACAAAATGTATAATACATAAATAATAAGTTCAAACAAAAATACACTTACTCCATTAAATCCAGCTGTCCCAGACTTGATGGCTTCATTAGCTTTTTCTTGTATGATTTGAGCTAAGTGGCATAAAATTGCACCGTTATCCAAAACATCTATAAAATTGGAAGCTGTGATGTAGTTAAGGCCTAGAAACAAAAAAGGCTCCTGTGAATCACAATTAATGAAAAATGTATAACATTTTAGTAAGTGAATATAAATGCACAGGTTCATTTAAAAACAAAAATAGTTGACTCTAGATGTACATCGATTAGATATATTCAACAGGGCACTAGTATATTAAATAAATGAATAAGAAGAAATAGTTTAGGATTGATAATTTGTAATATCTGCTTTGTACCAATTAAACAAAGGTTAATAACAACAGAACGCATCTCAGCCATTTCTTTAAATAATTACTCATTAATTTATAGATTATAATACAACTTGAAAGTAATTTAGTAAGAAATGTGATACTAATAGTAAAATTTTTTTAATAGTAAAAATTTTTGATGTCCTCTTCCTTTTGAAATTTCTTTCAATTCATGGAGTTCTACAAAGACCGGAATAAGTGGTAGTCATTTTCATGGGATTTTCAACCATTTCTTGCAATGACATACCTAGTTGAAGTTGAGGTTCTGGATCTGAAGTGTTCATTTTGGTCATTGGAGATGTTTCTCATAGGCTGCGACAAATTCTTTGTTTGGCTGGTGTGCCACGAGGGGTAGGTAGAGCCGTCTGACCGAGTCCTCTTAGTGGTCACCTTACTAGACATCACTTGGTGATAATACCGCATATCATAAAAGAAGAAAAATAAAAGGGGAAAGAGAGAAAAAAAAAAAGATATCACACAATAAACATCAACTGCTCTTATGTACACGTAAACTGTATTCAGAGAATAATAAGAGAGTTCTGCTGAAAAATAGGCAAATACTGAGAGACGAGTTGAGAATACAGCCTTCGCATCATCTGATCCACTGCCTTCTCACAGAAACTAGTGGATCAATATCTTGTAATATGAAGGCAGGGGAGGTAAGATGGCCGGGGCATGTAGCTCGGAGCAAACCATCGGGAAGTCTTTATATAACAATCAATGCCTCATTAGTAGGCAAAAGACATCGTTGAAGGCCAAAAAGCAGATGGGTAGGTCGAATCAACTAAGAAGCTATAGAGCTGTTTGCAGATAACTGGAAAGAAATAGTCCAAGATACGAGGGTAGTAAAGGAGAAAGCTGATTAAAGCTGGCGGCAAAAGATCTACAACAAGGTAATATCAACAATAAATAATTTTTATTTGAAATTTCTTTCCATTCATGGAGTTCTGCAGAGAACGGAATAACTGGTAGTCACTTGGAGCTAGGTCTGGTGAATAGGGAGGATAACTTGAAAGGTCCCATCAAAAGCTGTGTGTTATTGTGAGTGACCAATGAGGTGTAGGGCCTACCGTTGTCTTGGTGGAACATGACACCCTTCCAATTTGCCAGTTCTGGACGTTTATTTATAATTGATTGATCCAATTTTGTTAATTGTGAGCAGTATAGAGTTGAATCAATTGTTTGGCCTGATGGCAATAGCTCATAGAACACAACACTCTTGAAATCCCACCATATGGAAAGTATTATCTTCTTTGAATGCAATCCGGGTTTTGACATTCTTCCAGAAGCCTCACTACTACTAGATCCCCAAGGTTTTCTACAGACTGCATTATTGTAAAATATCCATTTTTAATCTCATGTTATCAACCTATTCAAAAATGGGTCGTTTTGTTTCCGTTTCCGTAGTGATTCACAAACAGAAATGACTGTTGCTAAGTTGACTTCGGTTAGAGAGTTAGGGACCCAAACATTAAACCTGGAAACAAAGCCAAGCTGGTGTAAATGGTTTTCTATGCTTGTGTGCGATACATTTAGGGCCATAGCTATCTTTCGCACTGATTGGGCGGGATTTCACCCAACATAAATGGCCTTAGCATAGCTTGTTTCAATTTCATATGGGCGACCAGAACGTTGAGCATCATTGATGTCAAAGTTTCCTGAATAAAATTTGGCAAACCAATTTTAACAGGTGCGTTCAGTTAAGGCATCATCCCCATAAACAATGCAAAGTTTTCTATGAACTTCTGCAGCACGCTTACCTTTTTTAAAACAATACAACAAAATATGCCAATACTGAATATGCCAATGAACTTATATATAAATATACAGAAGTGGTTAGTTTTTATATTAGTAAAATATATATTATATATTTAATATATATTATATATATTTATATATATATATATATATAATATATTATATATATATATATATTTTACTAATATAAACTAACCACTTCTGTATATTTATATATAAGTTCATTTATTGTCCTAAGGATTAACGAGTATGCTGTGTATATAGCAACTCAATATGATTGGGCAGCAATCTTTTATATTTTATATTTTTATGAAAATAAAGTGTTTCTCTCTTATTATTAAAATTAAAGTCTTTTAAATAAAGAAAGTCTTTCACAGTAATAACTAATATTAATCAGAAAGTATTAAGAATTGCTATTAAATCATTTTAAAATACAAGCATTACAAAATATTTTTTATTCACTGCATTCCATGTAATTTGTAACGAAAATGGTCAATTTTTTGGAGATGATATAATATCAAGCCAACTTTACAGAATATTAAAAGTTTTATTATCATTATTCAGATTAATATTTTATAACCCAGACCTAAAGTTTTATTAAGCCACTCTGCTAAATCCTCTTGGAGAGGTAGCAGTTGTCGAGCATGTGAATTTGCAATTCTTTCCTGGTAATAATCAAGGCATTCTTGCTCTGTTTCTGGTGGGCGCCACTCATCTACTCCTACTTCCCATCTCTTCTGATGTCTTGGGGTCTCCCCACCAGATCCCATCTCCTGGAAAAATGCAATAAATATACATCAGTTTAATGAAAATAAAAAATGAAAAGATTATAATATAACAGCATAATTCTGAAATAAATATTATCTTTATTTGATATGATAATCTTCTTTTAACATCATTATGTATGTACATGTACGCATTGATGCTTCATATTATTTATTTGGTCAAAGTACCTATTTGAAATAGAAAAAAAAAATGAATCACTTTAAACATTGTGGTTTCTAGATGACAATATAACAGTATTAATTTATTTGAATTTGATTAAATGTGGTACGATACTTCAAGGATGATATAAGAATATTTTAATTTGATTTTATTGATGAATTAAAAGCATTGAATATTATTTGCTTTATTTGAAATACTATGTTACTCCCTAAAAAAAATAAATAAATAATAATACATGTGTTTATAGAAATTAATCATTTATTTATGTTTGGTTTTGGTACATGTACCACTGAAGCGTGTTATTTATGTTTAAAACTAAAGATGATTCTTTTTACTCATCTTGATGTTCAAGCATCTAACCATAAACTGATCAGATTTAAGTCCATTTAATTAATTTTACTAACAAATAGTTTATTTCTTATAATGATTGGGATAATAAACATCTAATATGAAATTATTGATAGTGAATATAGAATTATTTATTTTAAGTTAGCTTTAAAATAAAGAATAGCAACGGACTTAGGACTGAAGATAACAAATAGTTTTCATTAGAAAAAAAAATCAAGCTTAGAAGAAATTTGAATAAGTTTAAAAAGAATTTAAGTAAAGGCTATGAAATTTAAAATGGATAAAAAAAAATATATATATATTCAATTTTGGTAGGACACTGTGAACCCGATAATTGATCTAATAATTGTTTTAAATTTATTGTTTAAATTCGACTATGAAGAAGTTTTTGTTACTTTTACCGAAGAGTTGTGGAATGACATTATGATTCCCGTTAAAAACTGGAAAATGTAGATGTTTTTCTAAACGTTCACAAAAAAACAATAGTGTAAACAATATACACCTTCTTATACAATAACAAAAAAAATAAGTGAATGAAGCGCTAATTCGCAAAGAGGTTATTATTGTTTTTTTTTTAAGTTAAGCTGCAATAATGGCTAAGATACTAACAAAATAACATGCCTTTAATTTTGATTTGATAATTCATCAATCAATATTAAAGCAATAATCCTAAATTAAATTAAAATTATGTAAATTATGAAAACTGATAAAACACAAATTATATAGATTACAACGAAAATTGTAAGGATTAGAATAGATAAAAATACACGATGATATTTCTTATTGGATAACATTAGTTGATTAAAATATATTTTTAATTCATATATTTTTTATTTATCCAGTAGAAGTAGATCGCTGATAAATAACATTGAGAGGCGGTGGAACGTCTTATCAGCAGTGATTAAGTTTTTAGAGTAGGAAAATTGTTTTATTAAGCATAATTTCTATTGATATCATTCGGAGCTAGTAAAAAAAAGTTGAAAAATTAAATTATAATTAGCGAATATTATCTCAATTTTAGTGACTGGATCTATTATCAGATTCCAAAGATGATGGAAAGGAGAGCAGCGAGGCTTGTGGAATATATAATAGACCACTTGACTTAAATACTACCCTCTCCCCCTTATTTTTATATGTAACGTGGAGCAAAATATTATCTGATTTGCTCAGGTATTTTACTCCTGATATTGATGTAAACATTGAAAATAAATATGAATGTACTCCATTTAAGGTGTATTTTTGAGAATCGAATATTCTGTAAATTTTAATAAACAATTTTAAAAAAAAGATATTTTAGGAGAGTGGCATATCAGGGTTGGGATTTACTTTCAGAAATTAGGAGCACGATTTAGTTAGCAAGGGACGTAGGAATCTAAATGAATACGGTAGAATTGAAAGTGGAGGTCACGAATACGATATCTGTGATAACACAAGAATGGATTTTCGGGTTATTGTCTTAACAATAAAGGAGAGGGACGGTTGCTAGTAGAGGGGAAGCCGTAGTGGCAGAGCGTGTTAAAAAAGTGTTACCCGCTTTATCAAGCATGAGTCTAGAGGCATCGGTTCGAACTTAGCCTGGACGAATTAAAAGTTATTTCGTGGCTGACCCACGGAATGAATTTTGACATTCCTAATCTGGTTAGAGAAGAGGTACTTGTCCACTAGCCGGGCGGGACTGACTGCTTTCTGCCAATGTTTATAACCTGAACACTGATAATTCTGATAAGGCACTGATAAGCCTTCTCGTAATTCCAATCTTCGTATTCATATTTATTGAATTATATTCGTATTATTGAAATTGTAAACAAAAACAAATGTAATAATAAAAAAATACTTTTATTTTACGACATATATATTAATTTAATATATATATTACAAGTGCTACGACAGCATCTCCATTTCGCGTCTCTGTCAAACTTTATTTGATGACCTTGTTCACACGATTTCACGTTCGCAAATTATCCCAACGTTTTGAAAATATTCAATAGCCTGTTCTTCCAAAGACGGTAATTCCCAGAATGTAACAAGATCCATAATTTGACGAAAATAACACAAACGGGCCAAAAATAAAGGATTTAATAACTGAATGTAATAAGTGAATAATAACTGAATGTAATAACTGAAAAGTAAACAATGTAATAACTGAAAGGTTTGGCGAGATAAGAAGAGGGAGGTTATGTGACGTAACGTTAGATAACGAGGGAGGTTTCGTGCCGCCCGGCAAATGGACAAGTACCGAGTAGGTTTGCTTGTATTTCCAGAACAACACTATACCTCCCGTCAGAAATAGTAAAACAGAAAAAAAAAAAAAAAAAGAATGTAAGGGGCACAGAAAAAATGATATACAGCTATTGAGAGGAAAAGAATAATAACTATCTTATCTTATAATTTGTGTAGTACTTACTGATATATAACATACTGGAATCCAAGAACAATTCTCTGACATATAATTCGTATTTGGAACAATATAAATATTTATTAAGAGGGTTAATACAGTAAAAGGATCGGACAGAAAGGTTGCGAGGCAATTACTTTTTCCATTGTTTAATCAGCAATATTGGGCATTCAGGGACATTGAACAGTTATCTAAGCCTTTAGGATTAACAACTATTAGATAAGAAAAACAAAAGGTTTTTGTTATGGGACAACTGTTGAGTACTTTTCATGATCATAGTGAGATCCGATCAGCTGCAAATATTTAGCGATTTTATTCCCGTGAGTTCATCCCATATCCTTATTCCTCCTTCCTTCCTAGAGAAGCGGGAAGTTATACCAAGATAACGGGATCTGTATTGCTGGACCAATCACCCGTAATTGTGTAAAATGATTCAGAAAAGATATAGATGACTCGGAACATAAACGCAGTCTAAAGCAGTGTGGAAAAGCATTTACTTTTGGCAACATGGAATAACAGCTTATGACATTATTCCAAGGAAATATAAATGGAAAGTCCTTCAGAATGTCTCTCGAAACATACTATAAATAGTCCTTCCAGTTGACTCGCCCGAATCCAGGAAAACTGAAGAGATGTGACGCGTTAAGTACGCCATCCTCATCTCCATCACAGTTCCTTTAAATTAAATAAAATTATATGTATATATATTATATATATATATATATATATATATATATATTTATATATATATTATATATATATATTACTCATCGTTTATCAGTAATTCGAGAGGTGTAAGAAAATTAAAATGACAATTACAAATCAATTAGATATAAACTTTTAGTAAAACTTATTCATCAAAGGTATTAAAAACTTAAATTTAATTATTATTTTGAAAACTAATGAGATTTATCATTATGTCATTACATTGGTTATTTTTATTTAAATAATGGTTATGGTAGAAATAATATTATCTTTTTAAAAAGAAATAACAAATTAAACAAAATGTAGAAAAAAAAAACATTTTCGAGAAAAGGTATAAAACATATTAAGTGTACCAATATGTTTTATATCGCTTTCAAAGAAAAATTAATTAAGAGAGTAAATGAAAAACTGTTAATTGTCGTATAACTCGTAAAAGGGGTGGACGATCGAATAGAGAAATGGAATAAACTTGAATATTCAACCACCAGCTAAACATAATTACAAATCCCTAAGTGGCGCACTTTATATTCCAACGCGAAAGTCAAATAGATGCTATTAAGTCTACTTAACATGCCCTTTAAAGGTACGCTACTTCAACATAAACGAGTACCAAAGACATTCCGTATGTAACAAGTTATAAATCAGGGATATAACCAGAATCTTTATAATTATTCAGGATGAAGTATATACAATTTGCAAGAGGAAGGGGGGGGGAGGGGCGAGAGCAGCCTGGACAGTAATCGTAAAATGTATTTCCAGAACAACCCTCATTAAATAATAACGGTTTGCAGATGACATTGTTTTCTTAGCAGATACTGAAGAGATACTCCAATGAGAATAGAAGGAAGAGCTTTTGCACAAGGTAGTGAAACCTAATTTTGATAAGAAAAAGGTGCTTGTAGTTACAATAAAGAAGGGGAAAAAATGGAAACGTATAATTGTACAGGAAAGAAGTTGATGTTGAAAATACCAATAAACAAGGATATAAGTGAATGATAAACAGTAATAATATGCAGAAAAAATAGTCTTAAGATAAGTCTATTTCATGATACGTGACACCATTGTGAGTAAATGGAAGGTTAATAATAATGTGAATTAGTCTATATACCTTGAAGTGATGATTGCGTTACAAACCTAAGAATAGAATTTGCTGCATCTGAAACTTAATTAACACTCAAAGAAGCAGGTAAAACATGAAGAACCGTGTTAGGCATTTCTGTTTTGAAAGGTATTCTCCATGAACATTAGTTGAAGTGGTTCAGACAGACCAGTTCGAAGAAAATGACAGGAGAACGAAATGAGGAAGTTCAACTATGAGGCACCTCACTATGTAGGAGACCAAGGGTTACATACAATCAGTATATCTTTGATGCTATAGATAA